TGAATCCCTTAGTTATGCATTAATTGTCCACTTAAGGACATCAATTGGCTTTGGGGTATGAAAATTAATGTGGCATTTCCCCCAGCAGGATAATTTACCTAATGTTTCTCCTGTAACGTAACACTGGAGGATGGATATCACGGCATTGGGAAATCCAACAAATGTTTACTACAGCTAACTGTTATGTACAAGTATTCTCAGACAAGGTTACAGCAGGGGTACATGTTTTCAATCAGGCTTTATGCTTCTAGTGATCTTGGATTAAGATGGAGTACGAGATCTTTAAATCCTCAGGAAACATGCTATGGTACAATGATGATATCATAAGCTCATCTCATAACAGTATACTGATGTGCTGACCATGAAACAAAACATACCTCCCTGTTTCCCAAAGATAAAAACTTAACGCAAACAGCTACAAATAGTTTTACATGGGCATATGTTGACCATTCAATAGTTGTACAAAGAGATGAAAGAGTTTGCAAGACAAACATTTCTGTCATAATGATGGAGGAATTCTAAAGTATTTAAGGAGATATAGAACTTTTATTTCCAACATGTCTTCTTTTTTAAAAAAACTGAAAGATGATTGCAGATGTTAATTTATTGGCTGTCTAGAGAGAGAGAACTTGGAACATCACATCTGATGAGGTATCAAGGGAGTTTCAAAGAGATGGATGTAAAAGGGAGAATGCAAACTGAACTGTAATCTCTTGGGAGTTACCTCAAAGTATGAACATCATGGGAGATAAGACTGCAGTCTGGATGAGAGACATTTTTTGTGTCTTCTCTATAAAAACAGGGGTTAGAGGTAAGTTCAACTCTGACCTGTGTGTGCTAGAGGAAGAAGGTGTGCCAGAGAACTGAAATATTTGAGTGTGCCAGTGGGCTGAGATAGATATGTATACTCGTCTGGGATCATGTGCTAGTGAGCTGTGAAAGTCACAGTTAAAGAATCACCTACTGGTCACCTCTGCTTTGCAGGTAATTGACTCTCTGTCACCCTGAGCAGTAGAACTACAGCTGTCTTGCTCTGAGTGTTGCCAGCCAGCTGCCATCAAAAGGAAACAGGACAAAAGAATTTCAACTAATCTGCCAATCTAAACATACCAAAACTGACTATTCATACATTAATATTCCACTAGCTGCCCATCACAAATGATCCATGGAGACTTATATATATGTCTGTTAACTTGCATCAATTTATAGACTCACTTCTCATTTCTAATCTGTGTCTGTGTATGTTGCATTGTTATATTTTCTTGCGTTTAGTAACCAATAACCTTACTCTTACTAATTCAAGAAAGCCTGATTAAATTGATTCCTTGTATAACATGAAGTTATTTGGGTCTGATAGAAAGCTATCCATGCCTGAGGGAATCCTTTGTGAAGTAGCCTTGTTGTGCCCAACCAAGGTGGTAAGTAAATAAAGATGGGGAGGCAGTTCATCTCTCCTCACCCAGTGACTATAACAATTTGGCATGGTTGTATAAGTAGCAGGCGTGTCTGCAACTTGAACCCATCAGTACCACAAAAGAATTTAGAGTGGGTAAGTTGTCACTGAAACCAATTTTTAAAAAATCTATAAAAAGGTTTCTTTGGTTCACACAGCCACAGTATAGAGATGTCAACATTTCATGTCAGCACATTCTTAGCAGAATTAGGAGAAGTTACTTTTTAGGATTCAAAAATTCTGTCCCTTTGAACAGTTTAAAGATTTTGTAAAGCACTCGGGATTCAAATGTCACCAGAAAGATAGGAAAACCAAAATCTTAAAAGTAACTAACGGATGACAGGTGGAGGATGATGAAATGGATGGAGTAGCGGTCAACAGGTTCAAAGTCGAGCAGTGGAAATTAGAAATTCAAGATAAGGCAAAGGCAAGGCAAAAAGAGTGAGAAACTGAAGAAAGGGAGACAGACAGAAGAAGGAGACAGGGAAAGAAGAAAGGGAGAAAGATAGGGAGGGTGATGAAACAGAGCAAGAGAAATGGGAATGAGAGGGAACAGCCAGGAGTGAAGGAACAGAATTTCAGGAAAAACAACAGGAAAAGGAGTTTGAACTAAGACAGTTGAAATAAAGACCAGAATCCAACTGTGTCTGTGAAGACACAACTGAATCAGGCTTAAGGATGGAGGTAAGTCAGTTTGCTCATATGGTACACTGCTGGTAATACTTTGCACACAATCTCTTCCAATCCCTTCGCACCACCAGCATCTATTCAAGGTGTTCAACGGATTGTTCCATCCAGTGTCTTGGCTTCCATGCTTTATTTCCAGTAACATTCATCAGATTTCCACTGGAGTTATAATATTCCCATCTTACCTCCATATCCTGTCTATATCTTCCTCCGCTCCCTGTTCTTTCCATTCTAGCTGCAAAGTGTAAATCCATGCTGTTCACTTCGCTGAGTCCCTCTTGTGCCTTTATCACTCCTTCTTTTAACTCTTATTCACTTTCCTTGATGCTTTTGTTTATTACTCAATTGTTCTGGAGAATTCTGATGCCCCTCTATTTTTATGACCACTACCATTACTAGTTCTTGTAAGCCCTTTATTAGCTCTCTACTAACTCCTCAGTTGGATTGCTTTAGTTGACAGTCAAGAAGGTTATCTAAGACTACAAAGGGACCTTGATCAATTGGGCCAATGGGTTGAGAAATGGCAGATGGCATTTAATTTGGATAAACGTGAGGTTGTGAATTTTGGTAGAACAAAGAAGGGCAGGACTTATACAGTTAAAGGTAGGCCCTGGATAAAGTTGTTGAACAGAGAGACCTAAGGGTTCAGGTACATAGTTCTTTGAAAGTTGCATCATAATAGACAGGGTGGTTAAGGAGATGTTTAGCATGCTTACCTTCATTGCTCAGACCATTGAGTATAGGAGTTGGGATGTGATGTTGAGGTTGTACAAGATGTTGTTGAGGCTACCTTTAGAATACTGTGTAGTTCTGGTCACCCTGCTGTAGGAAGGGTATTATTAAATTAGAGAGGATTCAGAATAGATTTACCAGGATGTTGCTAGAACTGGAGGGTTTGAGTTATAGGGAAAGGCTGGATGTGCTGAGACTTTTTTCACTGCAGCATAGGAGGTTGAGGGATGACCTTATAGAGGTTTATAAAATCATGAGGGGCATAGATGAGGTAACTAGCAAAAGTCTTTTCTCTGGGGTGGGGGAAGCTCAAGACTAGGGGGCATATGTATATTATCTAATCAAATCATTACATGTTCACATCTACTGGCTGTAAGTGGGCACTTTGTGATCATCAAAGCTCTTTGCAGTCCTTTCGCCACTTTCAAGGATGCACATTTCCCTGGTGTGTAAAATTGGAATGATGTTTTGAAGCAATGCAAGTTATTAGGATTTACTTACTCTTGGGAATGACTTTTTGTGATATACCAAGTTTGTCCCTGGTTGGCCAAAATGAGCGAATTTCCTCAGATAATTCTCTAAATTTGACAGGCTATTCCTGGATAATGATCCTTCACAGCATTTGTAGTTGCTCTTCTTTGGCAGTTGCCGATGGCAACTGTTCACGCTGGCTATGACCAAAACATAACAGATCTACCTTGAGGATGCTTTCAGCTTCATGATCTAGATGTTGCCTCTGTAGGCTAAGAGGATTATAGTGGCCTTTGTATGGGTTATGTAACCTCTTCTGTGTAATCATCCTGGTATCATTTTGAAAGAATTACCCTTGGAAATTATTGATTGATTTCTTGGCATGACTTGTGATCTGTTCCATCACAGTGCAAGCAGTTTGAATCTTACAAA